TTTACATTCATACTATGAAGGATGGTAGAGTTCAGTTTAGAAAGATAAAGCAACCATTAGATAAAGAAGGAATTTTGAGAAAGATTAAACTTCATGAGGACAACATTGCTGAACTTAAGAAGAAGTTAGAAGAGTTGGAGAAAGGAAGAGAGTTATAAAGCAATGAATTCAACAGGGTGAAAAAAGAGGTGAAAAAAGAGGTGAGATCTCACCACTTCACCTAAATTTAAATGGATGTTTTCATACGTGTGAGAGTGGTGATATCATTAATTTTTAAGTTTATTTTTTATTTTATTTTATATAAATGACGAAAACTATTGAGATAACAAACTACAACGGTCATGAGTTCAAGAATTTGTTCTTCGTTCCTCGTGAAAATACATTCTATCAGATACGAGGGAGAAAGGGTAAAGTTAGTTTGAGCGTTTATGAAGGAATGAAGAATGGAAAGTTTATACAAGCATACGATACAAACGGTAAACGTGTTTCATTAGCTTTGTCAAAACTTACTAACATTCATTTTGACAGTGATTTTGACCTATATGAAGAGAAAGTGAGTCAGAAGATTATGAGCTGTTATGTGAAGCACAGCAATGGGAGGAGTTGCAATACTTTTGTAAGTGAGAACGTTTATTTTTACATTAATGAAGTCGTTTGTGGTTGGCGGTTTGTAAATATTTAAGGTTAAGTTAGTGTTGTCGTTTGTGTTGTAAAATATACGTTAATGGTTTCGTAAAGTGTCAAAACCGCTAAGTTGTGTAGGAGGCGCGCAGTGCCACAGTACACGACTTAGGTATACTAACTATTATAATAGAAATTTGCTATGACAGAAAGAATAAAACTATAGCAAAAAGAATTATTGTTATTTCGATGATATTTTGTAATATTCTTCGTTTACAAATGATTGGACATTGTATCTTGGGGAGATGTTGGATAATAAATTTAACGATTTCTTATTCAATTCTATTATATCATTGCTATCTTGAAGTGGAAAATTTTTCTTAAGAGTGCACTTACACCTGTATTACATGTCCTTCGATTCAGATGTTTAAGGTTAATTTTCAATGACACTTCGCACCATTTGTCAGAAATTTGAATTAAAGTCAGATACGCGTAAGTGCACCCTTAAGAACATTTGTCATTACAAGTATAAGTAAAGACACTCAAGATGCATTTTTGTCATTCAATAATCTATTCTCTCGCTATTGCAAACAATTTCAAATGTCGCATTCAATTTCTGTGTAATACAATATCATTCACTAGGATCAGTTTATTCATAACTTTACTCACTTTTCAACATATTTCTGTAAAGCAGGATAAATATGCTTCCAATACGTAACATCATTTATCATTTTCCTTTAGACAAGTGCGTTAATTTAGTTAGTATGGTTAAGTCGTGTACTGAGGCACTGCGCACCTACTTACCCATTATATGTGAATTCGACACTTTACAAAACCGTTAACGTATATTTTACAACACAAACGACAACACTAACTTAACCTTAAATATTTACAAAGCCGCCAACCACTTCACTAACGAACTCACTAATGTAAAAAATAAACGTTCTCACTATCGTTCTCACTAACGACTTCACTAATGTTCTCATAAATTTTCCTCAATATCTTCATCATCAGTGTTAACCCTATTGTAGTCATACTTGAAGCCATAAACTTTCTCTAACTTCTTAACGTACAATTTACATAACTTACCTTCGTCATCATATGGTTTAATGATATAACTATTTCTATCTTTATACACAGTCAATGAAAAGTCAACTGGTCTCGGATGTATTTGAAAGAACATGTTTATGCTCAGGAAGGAAGAATAAATGTTTAAATGTATGTTTGTTATACTGTGGAATTTCGAATGAGTTGCTTTTGTTCTGTCATTTACATCCAAATAAAAATTTTCAGTAAAATAAAAAATAAACTTAAAAATAAATGATATCACCACCCTCACACGTATGAAAACATAGCACAAAAATAAATTTAGGTGAAGTGGTGAGATCTCACCTGTTTTTTCACCTCTTTTTTCACCCTGTTGAATTCATTGCTTTATAACTCTCTTCCTTGGTTTCTTTTTAGTTGCTTTCTTCACGTCTGTCTCCAACTTGACTGTCTTTCTTCTTCGCCGTAATGATACCAGTTACTTCCACCAGTCAATGGGTCAAATGGTCTTTCGTAAGGGTTTCCATACATTCCATAGGGACCATACGGAAGAACTACTGGTGGAGAAGAAACATTTTCTTTAGTTCCATCGAATCTATTTAAATGCATTGTTTCACCTTTCATCTGGTCATTAAAGTCTTTTGCGTGTTTTGCAAACTCATCGTCCTTTCCTAAAGCATTTTCTGACTCAGTCGCAACCAAATTGGATGCTTTATTTATGAGCCCTATTTTATTTAATCTTAACTTCTTTGCAACCCAGCCTCCAATCTTCCCTTTATTTGCATCTAATGTCTTCGAAACCATTCCTCCACTCATTTTATTTACTGCGTCATAAGCTCCAAGTGCTTTTGCTCCAAATGCTAATGCTTTTGTTCCCATTGCGCCTAAAGCTGCCCAAGCTACCATTTACACCATATTAAAATCATCTCTCTTCAATATTATCTCATAAAGTTCTCGTTACTGGAGAAAGTCAATGAAACATAAGCGTTCTCACGGGCTTCGCCCTCACCGCTTTGCGGTCTATCTAACTTCTTTCTTTATATCATCTATACGCTTCAAAATGTCTGAACAATTGCTAACATCTTCTAAAACAGTTATTTCATCATGAATGACCTTCAAGAACAAGCTCATTTAATATGCTATTAAAATCATTTCAATAATGAGTCCATCCTTTCCGTCTTTGGGTAGCACAACATCTTTCATTGAAGAAGGTTCGACAAGTCTTATGTTAAACTTACTGACAAATTTGTTATACTATAATGCTTCGGCGGCGAATACATGTAGTTTGAAAGACATAATATAGATTCTTCAGCAAATTCACTTATACTGGATTTTATAACAATGTTCTCACGAGACCAAATACCACCAATTGACAATCTTGTAAGCAATCCTGCTGAACCTTCTACTGTAAATGTCGATGGTAACATTCCACGAAGGTCATCTATGACATCGTTGAGTCACTGTATTTAAATATTTTCTTAAAGCAATCGTCATTATCTAACCATGCAATAGCTTTGAAGTTTTCATTCGAATTACATCTGCTTCATTAAATGTAAAACCGACTTCTTTGCAGAGACGACTTTAAAATCTATTGAGTTTGTTTCAAAATTATATGCTATGGTAACTTCTGAAGGTAATGGATGTCCTTCCGCAGTCAGTTGTTCTCTCACTACCATTTGAAGCTTTGTGTTAAAAACTTTCATGTCATCTCCTGTATCTAAGTTCACATACACAGCAACAGGGAAACTATCTTGCTTCTTTGTTTTCATCATTATATCTTAAAACATTAAAGTTCTTCAATAATATTGTTCTTCCTGCTGGAATACTTCGAACCTGTCTGATTTCAATAGCTTTCTCACCTCCTACATACTTACCCAGTGTCTTGGATATTCATAAGTATACTGACTTTCTTGAATTTTGGTGGTTTCATCATAACATGTTCATAGTATATCTTTATACTCTTGTCAGTTAGACTCGGTGCTATGTTCTGAATATTTCTGACTTGCATTTTTAATGGAGATAAAAATGAAGCATTTAATACATGACGTAGATGAAGACATGAATGAAAGCAGTGAAAACTCAACAGTTCTCCTCATTCTTCCTTTCAGTAAGGACTATGAGTTCTGTTCAAATGGCGTTTATTTCTATTGTGGAAAGATGGGTTCAGGTAAGACATTTAATTTAATTCGTCATATACTCATACGAACGTTTAGGAAATGATCATATTATGACCAAATCATTATATCAGCAACTTCAGACTCTATGGATTCAACAGCGAAAACATTTATGTCAAAAGTTCAAGCCTCTATCGTTAAAGTTCCAGACAGTGAACTCATTGAATTTCTTCAACGTTACATTCGACGTAAGAGAAAATATTATGCCATCGTTGAATTTATACAGTCAGGAATGCAAAAGACTTCTGAGGAGATGAAAAGAATTATTGACAAACACCACTTACGTCAATACTCAGGAGTTTACGATATGAAACGACTTACAAACTACATTCTTATCAAAACTTTCAAAATACCCCTTCAAAAAAGTATCCTTCAAACACTCTGCTCGTTTGCGACGACTTCGCTGGTAAAGGTTTAGTGTCAAAACCAGACTCACCATTAGCTAACATCATTACTAAAGTCAGACATTACCACTTAACTGTAGCAATACTTATGCAAACATGGAGGTTTTTAGCTTAAACATAAAACGTCTCATAACTGACTTCGTTATCTTTCAAGGTTTCTCACGTTATGATATTGAACTCATTTGGAAACAGTCAGGTATAACATTACCTTTTGAAGAAATTTGGGAAGCATATAAGTCTCTCATCTCTCCTCGTTCATACCTTGAGATTCATATCATGACTAATACCATTAAAGTCAAAAATATTCCATGGGAACGACCAACATTATTTTAAAGCTTAACCTTCAATTGACTGATGGTAAACAAATTCCATGCATCTCTGTCGCCATTTCTGTTAATATTTTTGCTGTCATTCATATCATCCACTTCCCATCCGTTAGCTTTTGAGGATATGGGTTAGAATAGCTGTTCTTAAATGAAGGCTTTTCACCTTTTAGCGCATAAACTCTATAACTTTCTGCATACTTTATGTTTGAACCTCCTGAGCATCATTGACATAAATTTTTATAGGCTTCCACCCTTTGTTCATGTTCCTGCTTCTTCCCTTAGCTCTTTTGTTCAGTAGTTCTACATCTTTATACACAGCACCTGTCTCAGTGAATTCAACAATATTTTCATTCGTTAGCTTTACATTCAAACCCTTGTCGAGTATATTGTTCATTTCATACATATAAAAGGTTTTTATTCTATATGAAATGAGAAGCAAATCCATCTTAGCTGGTGCCGTTAATGTTCCAATTGAACCAACATCAAATGTTGACTCACGAACGACAAACAATATTGTCATAAAGAACTATAGTTCAGAGTGTTTGAAAGAAAAAGAACCAGAGCTGAAATCCGTGAATTTAAACACAGCTTCAAACGCTAACGCTACATCAGATGTTAAGTTAGAGTATCCACCACTGGACCAAATTCTTTCAAGAGAAGCCAACGACAATCCTTACACAAATGTTCAAACAAATCCTTCAGATAACGTAGACCATTACCTTCTTCAGTTATACCAAACAATTTTACTCAAAGACGATAAGAAGCTTTTGACAAATCTTATAAGTAAGAACCAAATAATTCTAACAAAGGAGGACCTTGAAAATGTTATCTCACGAATAACAGGGAAACAATGTGTCATTGACTATCTCGACCCTGAAATCGAATGCTGTGGTCAAACTCCACTATTCATGAAAATAGGTAACATCCGCATCATTGAAACACCAGGAACTACAGGAGTTGAGTTTAAGTATAAATATTCGAATGAATATACAAAACTTTCAACAGAATATAAACTTTGTTTGAAATATGTTTTAGTAAATTAAAGCAGTCAGGACCTTCGGTCTTGGCGCTTTGCGCCGTCAGTCAAAAAATTTCAAGTTAGCAATTTGTAATATCTATCCAAAACTTCTTCAACACTATTGAACTCATCTTCATAATGCAAACCTAATCTTATTGACTTGGTGCAGTTTTCACTAACACAATATTTTTCTGTTCTCTTGACTGACATAACTAACTCATTTGTTTCATCAAACAGCAACAACCAAAGTTCATGACCTAATACATAACATTCATACTTTATATTTTTAGCTCTGAGTTCTCTTGTAAGCTGTTGCATTTAATATTTTCTAAAAAGTCAACTTCAACAGTCATTCGCACTGGTGCCTTCAGTTCTACAGGCTCTCCTTGAAAGTCAACAAGTCTGAATTGCATGTCTTTCAAATTATGAGGACTAATGCGAACCCATTTACCTAAATGAGTTGCTATGACAGGAACGTTTGGAATGAACATTGAATTGACTGCATAACAGAAGGATTTATATTCTACTGAACCTTTACTATTAACTCCTGAAATGCCTGTGACATTAGCTATTTTAGACTCAATGTATAAACAATTGCCATAACATACGTATGGAACAGATTTCATCTCAATCGTTTTGTCAACACTTTTCAAAGGAAATGTCATATGGTATGCTCCTAAAAGAAGTTGTACTCTATGACTCATTCGTGTTATCTTAAACTCCTTCGCATAACTGAACTTCAAAACTCCTGCAATAAGTTTAACATTCATTAAGTTTTCTTCGTTATCCTTGTTTATTGTAGTATTTATGAGAGCATTTAACACTCCAGCTAATGTTTCCATCTTATATTCTACATTATTGTGAAATCTTATTTCGTGCTTCTTTCCATCTATTTCAATCTCCATGAAATCTGTTTCATCTGTTATGACAAAAGTTGCGATAGTATTGAAGTCAACAACTCTGAAAGCAAGCGCTTCATTCTGAAGACCTAAGTTTGTTTGTAGCTTTACTGTCCCGTATTCGTTTGGGTCTGTACTTTGCAAATAGGACAACATTTTATTCTCATTAAAATATGACTATTGCTGCATATGCGTATGAAACAAATGAAGCAAGAAGAGCACATGAACTAGTAAACGAAAACTCAACTTTAACCATTGAAGGCAATGATTTAGTCATTGACGATGGAAAAACTAAAAAAGTCATTGATTTCGATACTTTTAACACGTATGACCCATTCATTACAATAAGTAAAGTTCCCATCATAAATGATGGAACGGTGCAATATATAAATTCTACAGTAGATGCCTCATTAGTGAAAGTATTAAATGTTCTCATTGAATTGTTAAAGAGCTTTCGATTTGACGACAACATTAAATGCCTAAAGAATTTAGTCATGAATGAGAAACAAATTCTCGGCGTTGCTGGTAGCAGTAATGATGTACACCTTATGACATTAGAATATTATAACGAACATAAAGATGAACTGAAAGGAGAGAAGGGTGACACCGGACCTCAAGGACCACAAGGAATACAAGGACCTCAAGGCGAAAACGGTTTGGATGGTGAAGATGGAAAGGATGGAAAAACTGCTAAATCATGGATATGGAACCTTATAAATACTGGCTTAAGAGCTGCTTCATATGGAGTTCTTCAATACCAAATCGGAAAGATATGGGCGGTACTTGGTGAAGAAGTTTTAAATGATGTTAAAAATGCTTTGAACTTCATTTCAAATGGTTCGGATACTATTAAAACTTTATCTGGTTGGATGCAAGAAACAAGGAGTCAAATAGATACTGTAAGACGTATAGCAAACAATGCACGTACGGGATTGGATACTTTACGAGAAGCACAAAATACACTAAAGGAAGCAAATGATATTCTTGGCTCAGTATCAGACATGCATGAAGATTGGCTTAAAGGTATTGACAAATCTTTAAAAAATCACAGTCAGTCTATTGCTGACTACAAGAAAAGTATAGATTTTTTACATAGTGCTATGGACGTACATGATGGAAGTATAAAGAACTTACTTAATGCTAACAATAACTTACCAGGAACTATTAAAGCATTTATAAAGTCCTTTGTAAAACCTGGTGCTCTAACATTTAGGTCTTTGAGAGCAAGAGCATTGAAGTCAAGAGATGCAGAAACTCCAACAGAACCTACAGAAGGAACTGAAACAACAGAAACTCCAGAAGAACCACCAAAACCAACAGCTAATGAAATATTGTTCGAATATTTTCCAAGGTACTCTGTTCTCATTGCATACATTCAAGAAATACTTAAGAAAGCAGACTTGACTTTAGGAGATGATGAAAGTTCTGTATATCTTTCGTTCCAGTTTCAAATAGCAGAACTTTTGAGACAGATATGCTTAATGTATGACAACATCTCTGATTTCACAAGATATGATGACGACCATGACCCCGAACACGGTGAAGAAGAAGTTTTACAAACATCCATTAAGACAGGAAAGGTTTTAACTCAAAGTCTCATTATTGACACCAAAGATGGCGAAGTGGACGTTCTTCAAGAGCTGAAGAAAAATACTTCTTCGGGAGGTGGTGGTAGGCATGAACTTGAAATAAATGAGATAGAAGAGAAATTAGCCGAAAAAGCAGATAAAAACCATGTTCATTATATAACTTCAGACGAACAGATTATAACGAACTACCATGGATATTTAACACAGGATGAACAAATAAGCACTGAAGATGTTAATGAAAGAAGATATAAATTCATTCGTGCTAAAGGTTATGACATAAGCTGTACTGTACAGTATGACACAGGTAAAGCACCAGAAGCATTTGGTTATAACAATGAAATTTATGCTTCATACTTCTTTGTTAACGGTGTATTAGTTGAACCAAGATTTACTTTGAGAGTTAAGGCAAAAATAACTTTTGAAGATGCTATTAAAAGTAAAGCCAGCAAAGATGAACTTGGAGCAATGAACAAAGTTTTGAAATCTCATAAACACAATATCTCCGATATAAATGAACTTCAAGCTACATTAAATAGTAAAGCTGACAAGAACCATACACATGAATCCTTCACTACTGTTAGAGCAGACGACATAATATTGAACTATACCCTTGGTTCAAGTGCACCTTTAGAGAATCCGAGTACAAGCGTAAAAGATACACTAAACTCCTTAAATAGTAAATGTATGAACATTGAAGGTCATGCCAGAAACTTTGAAACACATGAACTACCAGCAATGTTAGATAAGAAAGCTGACAAAGAACATACACATAAATCCTTCACTACTGTTAGAGCAGACGACATAATATTGAACTATGATTTGGGTTCAAGTGCACCTTTAGAGAATCCGAGTACAAGCGTAAAAGATACACTAAACAATTTAGATAACAGTTGCAGGAATATCGAAGATCATGCCAGAAACTTTGAAGCATATGAACTACCAACAATGTTAGATAAGAAAGCAGACAAAACAGAGCTTCAAACATTAAAGACTGAAATACTTCAAACATTATATCCTGTTGGTTCTTTATATACATCAATGAATTCAACAAATCCAGAAACAGTTTTAGGTTTTGGTACGTGGAAACAGATTGTAGACAAATTCTTATACTGTGCTAACTCTTCAAAGCAAACGGGGGTTCGAAGAAAATTAAAGAAGCAAACCTTCCACCGCACACTCATACAGGAACTACAAACACAACAGGTAGTCATTCACATTCAATAACAAAAAGAGGTTATAGAAATCTTGCAGCAGGTTCGGATAGACAGGGAATGCATAGATATGATATTTCAAGTGACCCAGTAGATTCAAGCGCAGGTATTTTCTGTGGAACCACAGGAAATCATTCACACACTTTCACAACAAATCCAACAGGCTCGGGTGCAGATTATATGCCACCATTTGTGACTATATTCGCATGGTACCGCGTTCAATGAACGCGCTTGAGCCTTGAATAAAATCTTTAACTTTACATAAATGAGCTTGAAAGAAGTATTCGAATAACATCCATGGAGGTCATTTAAGAAGTTCAATGAAGCTGCAAAGAGTTGGGGATTTACTAACAGAGCTGAAGTGAAAAGGTTCTTTGACAAAAATGTTGTACATCAAACAAAAATAAACCCTTACGACTACTTTTTACCAATTTACTCCAACACTCCTGACGCATACCAATTTGACACTCTCATTCAAAGCAGAAAAGGAGGACATAACCCATTCCTCATCTTCATTAATGTTAACACTCGTAAAGCATATGCATATCCAATGAAAAATAAAGGAACTCGTGAAGTGTTAAGAGTTTTACAAAAGTTTGTAGCAGAACATAGCCCAAGTACTTTAACATCAGACCAAGACAGTGCTTACCTCAGCAACGAAATCACAGAATTTCTCATTAAGCATAACATAACTCACTACACTACTGAAGACCATAACCATAACATACTCGGCATCATAAACCGCTTCATAAGAACGCTCAGAGATTTAAACCAAGAGCGAGACTTTACCGAAGAAACAATGAAACATTTTCTCGAAGTATATAATTCCTCAACACATTCTACAACAGGACATACACCAAATTCAATGACACAACAACAGTTAAAGTCCATGAAGCTATAAATGAAGAATACGAATACATACAATATAACAAACAACTTCGCCTCATTCGTTCGGTCAAAGACGATATGTACCAAATGCAAAGTATAATGAACGCTCTTCGTTCTACAAAGCAAGCATATCATTGGTTTGAAAACCAACAGACAAAAGAACTTTTAGAAGAATTTCCTCATATGATTGCTTCCCTCGGAAAACCGAGAGAAGAGATTCCGTACGAAAATCGCAAGAATTTGGCTCCTGGTTTGAAAGGTTATTATGTTCATAGACTTTTAGTAAACGCTGTAGCAATATGGGCTTCACCTCGTTATGCTTGTTATATTTTCATGATGTTAGATGAACTATATAAAGCAGAACGTGAGAGATGGAAAAAAACTTCAAGCAAAAGATGAAGTCATTGAATCCAAAGACAAAAGCATACAGAAAAGAATACCGCGTTCAGTACCAAAAGGAAAGGAAAAAGAGTTATAGTATATGATATATACTGAAGAGTTGGAGAAAGAAGAAGATAAAGATATGGTTATGTTGCATTTAGTCAGAAGAAACAACAAGAGCTTTTATGACTTAGCTAAAATATATAAATCTGACAGAAACTGGTTCTATCGTGAAAACTTACCGATTTCAATGACACCGAATGAGCAAATAAAGGAAATTGTCAAAAATACTCTTCCTCAAACACACTATGACATCAAAGGTTGCACAATACTTACATTCAAAGAAGACTTAACATTACTGAAGGAAAAAATAACAGAATATTTCGATAACTTCAAAGAGGAAGAATAAAAAAATCTAAGCTAATTTTATTTTTTTTATAAAATTTTATCTCATATGAAAGAACATGAATTTAGAATATTCGGAACTCATGACAGAAGAAGAGAACGAACAACATGTAAAAGATTATGCAAAATTTCTGAAGACATACAAAGCATTTAAACAATATCTAAATGCTTCTAAAGATTATGCAAAATTTCTGAAGGTATATAAAGCTTATGAAAAAGCGTATGAAAAGTTTATACATTGGGGAATTGTTGTAAAATATCGATATGAAGACTAACCAAAAATATATTTTTGCTTAAATAGCTTCAGGGTCTATTTCTTCAACCATTTCACTTCCTTCGTCAATGTCAATAGAAGCTTCTTCAACCTTTGGTAAGAATTTCTGTATAACATCTTTGTTCGTTATTGTCTTCAGAGATGAAGGATAATATTTCACATTTGTTTCACCCTTCTTATATTCTTTCTGTTCGGAAAGATTTAAAGCAATACTGAAGAAGTCAATATTAGAGTTCTTTATGACAGTATAATGAGTATCTTTGACATTCACGAAGAAACTCTTTTGTTTCAAAACTACTGCTAACTCTTGTGAAGTATAACGTTTGCGGTCAATGACGATAGCTAATGGTCTGACATACTGACCAAACTTAGATTCTTTCACAAACTTCTTGTTAAAGATAACATTAACATTTGAAGCATTATTGAACTCATTCTTGATGGCAGTAGCGAGAGCATTGTATGAAAAGAACTTGCAATCTTGCATGTGTTTCATTAAAATAAAAATATTAAATTATTTTGAAAAATAACTTTAAAAAATCTAATCTAATTTTTTCAAAAAATATTTTTTTATTTCCTACTAAAGATGTATCGGAAGTTGTCTAAGTTAGAACACTCGGAAATAAAACAACTTCTTACAGAAGCTAACATAGATGTAGCAAAACATTACGCAACAAACAAAAAAGCACTCGCTGACATCCTCAATGACTATAATGGTGCAATAAGTTATGATAGAATTCATGAGTTCATAAAGCCGCAACGCGGCGAGGACGAAGTCCATGCAAGAGCATTTCCTTTAAATGACGTTGCTATTGACTTATATCATAGACGTTCAGTACCTCATGAAGTAAGAAGAGAAATGTTTGACATAACAAATGCAAACGTTGGTGAAACAAGAAGAAGAGACGACACACTGAAACAACAGAGAAGAGAGATGTTTAAGAGCGCTATAGAACAAGTTCGCAAAGCTAACGATGTCATTCGTTCCATTGACGACAAACCAAAAGAAGGTGAGAGATGGTTAAAGAAAGATGAAGAGAATAGGAAGAGAAATGTGAAGTCAGGCAATAGACTCATTGACTTTAACATCGAAGCTTTAGATGAACCAAACAGAGACTACTTACACAAACATTTCGGTAAGGTTTTCATGAGACTCTTAGAGAAATTAAAATAAACTCACAACAAGATGGATGGTATGTTATAAACTTGGTGGAAAGTATGAATGTTCTACGTTAAACCTCAATAATATTGGAACATTACTACATCAGCTCTTGAAGGAGAACTTTATATCAGAGATAGAAGCAAATGCTGCAGGTATTGTTGAAATGCACTATGACTTCTTCTTGACAAACATAAAGAATCTTACTGAAATAAAGATGTATGATTTAACAGAATATGAAGGCTTAACGATGTCAGATGTAAAGAAAGGCAAACCAAAAAAGAGACCATATAGAGATGAAAGCACACTGACAAATGACCAGAAAGCCATTTTGGAAGCTCTTAAGCAAACAGGAAACCCAGCACTTATAGAAAGCTTTTGGAAAGATAATGGTGAAAAGAAGTTTTATAAGAAGAGAAGCGGTCAGTTCTGGAAGTATCTTTGCACATTACCTATAAATCTTGAACGCTACCAAATCTTCAATGAACTGAACAAAAGAACTGCAACACTTATGACAGAAGACAATTGTTTCGTTTATGCTTGCATTCAGGCTGGAGTAATGAAGAAACTATTGACCACATGAGAGAAGTCATTCGTGTTAGAGACTTTCCTCAAAGTAAAGTACAAGAAATTTCTGACGCAACAGGTATAGCATTTAATGTTACCATTGGTTACTTCAATGACTCAAGACATAATGAAATAAAGAGATACATACCAAAAGAATGTAAAACTATTCGAACTATTGACTTACTTCTTGTTGAAGACCACTACATGCTAAATGAAAGATTACCAATGACAACATATTTCATTCGCAACTATATAGAAATCTTGAAGGAGTGTGGTGGAATGAACATTGAGAAACAAATGAAGATTTATACAAAGAGAAAGAACAAATATGTAGTTCGTTATGATAGAACAACACCACTATGGGATGTTATGAAAACATTGTGGGAGTGCAAATATTTCGAACCTATTTCTTATGGAGAACTTTTCACATATACGACTGACTTATATAAACAGAACCTTGCACCATTTAAAGATTTGACATATGCTCCAAAGTTTTGTGTACAACTGAAGAAGAAAGCCGAGTCAAAAGAAGTAAATAAAAATAAGTGCAAGTTCATTCCTGAGCACGTTTTCTTTGCTGACTTTGAGTGTAGCACAGACGGCTTTCATAAAGCTTTTAACATCTGTTATGACAGTGAAGATGGTTCAGTGAGTGAAAGCATTTGGGGTCAGAACTGTGCAACAGAATTTTTGGAACGACTTCCTGACAAGAGTTTAATATATTTCCATAACCTCAGTTATGATATAAACTTCATCTTAAGACACATGACAGAAGTGAAAGGAACTCCCATCATTAAAGGTTCACGAACAATGCAAATAACTGGCTTATATAAAGGAAGGGCAATTATTATAAAAGACTCTTACAGTGTTATAAATAAGAAACTTAAACTATTTCCTGCTATGTTTAACTTACAAACAGGACCGAAAGAAGTATTTCCATATAACTACTACAGCAGTGTTTTGTTAGCAAATGACAACAGAACTGGTGTCATTTCTGAAGCATGTAAGTTTATCCGGGATGCAGATACATTCATGAAAAACATAGATTCCATCAAAGGTTGCAGAATAGATGAAAACCACTTCGACTTAGAAAAGTATAGCACATTTTATTGCAAACAAGATGTAAGAATTTTAAGAGAAGGTTTTGTTAAGTTCCGCAATGACATATTGAAAGAATTTGATTTAAACGTTTATGACTACGTTAGTATTTGTTCAATTGCTAACAAATTATTTGAGAACAGAGTGTACTTCCCGAATGGAAATTTATATGACCTCTCAAATAAACCAAGAGAATTTATTTCACGCTGTATTCAAGGTGGAAGATGTATGTGTCAGATAACATTAAACAAAAGAGCGAAAAGAAACTCATTGCTGACTTCGACGCTGTTTCATTATATCCATCAGCTATAGCAAGACTTTATACTTTAGAAGGTATTCCAAAGGTTATGAAGAAAGAAATGTTAAGCACAGAGTATCTCATGAGACATTTATTCGATGACGACCAACAGGAACCCATTGGTGAAAAGTTTATGTCTGGCTTCTTTGTTCTCATTAAGATAACAGAGATTGGAATACATAGACACTTTCCTTTAATAGTTTGTGACCCTGAACTAAATCCAGAACTTAACGTTCCCAGAAGTTCAAACACTTGCTGTTTAATGTATGTTGACCATATAACATTACAAGACCTCATAAAATATCAAGGTGTCAAATGTGAAGTGTTGCAAGGATACTATTACGATGGAAACAGAGATATTAGAATAAGAGATGAAGTAAAGAAGTTGTTTGAGTTAAGGTTAAAGTATAAGAAAGAAGGAAATCCTTTGCAAGAAAATATAAAGCTCATTCTGAACAGTATTTATGGCAAAACTATTCTATCTCCTATTGAGTCAAAAATAACCATAGTAAATGACAAAGATGCTATAAGATATGCCATCAGAAACTACAACCATATAGTGAAGTTCGAAGGTTTGGATGGTTCAGATAAAACTATTTTCAAGCTAACGAAAAGCATTTGCAGACACTTTAACTTCTGTCCACTTGGTGTTAACATTCTGTCTATGTCGAAGAGAATAATGTGTGAAGTATTCTGTACTGCTGAAGACTTAGGAATGGACATCTTTTATAGCGATACGGACAGTATGCATCTCTACAATGAAGATATCCCTCGTTTAGCTGAAGAGTTTGAGAAACGTTATGGAAGAGTTCTCATTGGTAAAAAACCTTGGTC